TGAGCATCAAATATTAGCTGCCTGAACTCGGTTCTTTATTTGAAAATATTTCCAATTACCAAAGCCTCATTCTATTTCGTCGCACTAGCCGTCTGTGATAGCACTCCGACAAATAATTTAAAAAAGAAAAAAAAGCAATTAAAATCCAGTACTCTCCCTTGGGAAGAAACTCAGAGATAGAAATAGTGATAAAACATACAGCTTGTACAGTACAGTTTTACAAAGAACCTTTTTTAAATCCTTTTTCAGCTAACCATTTTTAAGAGAAGACTGTAATCGAGTAAACAGAAATTTATTGAGAGCGGCGGTTTCGGCTGCAGTTTTCTCGTAAAAAACGATCAGCTGATCAGCGCTTCAGACCACCATTCTGAAAAAGAACTACAAATTGATAATCTTCCTTATGAAGTACCGAATCATATGAGCCATCAAAAGAGTAACATCAAACTTATCAATTTAAAGTTATTTTACTTTAGATATTACACTTACTGGTACACTGCCGGTCTGAGCTTAACCTGTATATAGCTAAGAAAACAACAAAGGCTTCAAAGAAGAAACTTTATCCTTTGTTATTTGCCTTTGTTACAAACCCCTAATAAACCCGCTCATACAGTTTTTGCTGAACATTTTAACAGGAAGCAAAACAAAGCCTTAACCCCCAGTTTCTAATAATGCACGACTTATGAAGCTTTACGAAGAACAATTTTCTATTTCAAACAACGTTTGAATCTAGGAAGAGGTTTCTGTACACAGTTCACTTATTTGTAGGATGCTGTCCTCGACCGCTGGTTCTCGTCTAAAAGAGATAGTGCTAAGAAGGTTCTTTTATTGCGAAAATTCAAATCTTACAATTTGTGAGGTAGCTTTTACAATTACGTAACCAAACCATAGACCGGAGTAAGCCTTTCATATTTAACACTCAAAAAAATTATAAATAAACCGCGGTAAATGCAGAAATATAATTCACTATAAATTTAAACATATTTCTTTAAACAAGATGAAAGTAAGAAGACAAATTGACCCTACGCTCAAAACAGGAAAATGCATTCAAATCAAGCTAATCTTTTACTCAATTGGTACATCACCATAATAGATTACCACCTGTCTACAGCTGTAAGCCACTAATACTGGCTTTCATATATGATATAATCACATCGTGTTAACTGATATCCGGTCTTTTCCTTCTGTCTTTCAATCCATAGCGATAACTCAAAACTTTCAAGAACGCTATATGCGATCTATCTACTAATGGTGCCTACGAAGTATACGTTGTTTTTCCACGTTGCTTCTCTTTCTATTTGTCATAAACACTGCTGCGCTTGTTCGTACCATGCGAGTTTGTAATTTTCGTCCAGCAAAGGTGGAAATAAGAGCACAAAAGGTAAAATCAAAATTATTTACAAAATCATCCAATGTCTAAAGGAACTGCTCTGTTGTAGAAAAAAAAAAAAAA